AAAGTTTTTCATATGCGACTAACTCGAAAATCGATACGGCGCCGCGGGTGACGCGCGGGTGTTTTCCCGGATGCGTGGCCGTGCGATGTCCTGTTCCGTGTAAGAGGCGAGACACGCACTCTCGTCCTCTCGCGTGATAGCGAAGAATACCAATGGCGTAGCGCGGTGTTCCTCGGGCCTCTTCCCGTCGGGCTTCCTCTCTGCGTTTGTCGTGACGTGCCTCGATGAGGATCCGCCAAGAATTTCGCTTCACTCGCGAGTCGAAATTTTGATCCTACTTTCGGCCTTATTATTCCATGTAACACCTATTTTTATACTCTGAAACCTACGTCAATCTCTTTTGATTCTATTTAACCTAGCCGAGTCGAAATTTTGATCTTACTTTCAGCCTCACTAATTTATCCAACACCTATTTTCACGCTAAAGAAAATAAGAAAGGAAATTTCGGACATCAGAACCAAAATAGAAGTAAATTGTATCATTAGGACGAAACCTATACTAACTTAGCCTTTACAACTGCGTTGTAGAATTCAAGGTTTAACACAGGACCAAAATTTTGACTCAGTCAGTCAAGCCAGAAGAGACAGTTGTAAATCGGTACTTTATATATTTTGATAACGTCGCGTTTATAGATAAACCCGCCAAGTTTTGGACAAAAGAATAACTTTTGTCTGTCTACTCAACAACTCAACACATGTCCTCAAGTATAGCATAGATTTCGATCAAATTACTCAAATTTCTTCTAAACTATTGCGATACCAACTTTGAATCCTACAAATTCTTATCCCATTTTTACTCCATTCTTATTTCCGTACAAAAATTTTTGGAATCCAATTGGGATCTATTCCGATTTCTCAAATAGTTGAAGTTGTGATTCTAAATGAGAGATCCAACGACAGAAGGAAAGCTGTGGAAAAAGATTGAAAGGAAGGGGGAGACATAGAGAATAACGAAATAATAATTAATACTTTTCTAATTATGATTTGTGTAAGAATATAAAAAGCCTATTTTTTAAATATACTGTTATATGATTACATTCTTAACTTACTGACTGTTAATTGTAAATAATTGCAATATATTTGAATGTTTCTGCGATGTTAAGAAGTTTTATATTCAAAGCAAAAATATAAATATATATTATTTTATCCGAAACATTTATAATTTATCTCAAAAAGAGGTTGAGCAAAATATTTGAAACAGTTCAAGTACCTTTGCTTTTCAAACATGCAATTCTAAGTGAAAAACCTAAGATTTTCTCAGTATTTTATGCTAGTCTTTTGTTTACATTAGAATTGAGCAAAATTTGTTGATTTTCCAAACAATTTCATTATCCAGCAGAACACTAAAAGTGTAAAACATTTTTTTATTGTTTACTCTATTGAATACAATAGTTGATATAAAAATGGGATTGATATCGAGTGGGAAGTGGGAAAGCCAATTTTGGGATCGAATTTGGGTAATTTAGTCGGAATTTACGTTGGAAAAGTCTCAAAAAGTTTCTATGCGGGAACCGACAAAAATAAAATTGACGTAACAAAGATGCGGCGTTTGTTGAGAACTTTCTTCTCGTGCGGCTTTCAAGCGTGTCGCGGATTCTGCAAGCTTTTCATCCGAACTACAAAAGGCCGATCGAAGCACGCCTCCATAGATCTCGCTTGCAACACCCGGGGATCTTCGAGCAACATCGAGAACGATCGATTCATCCGTCAACGAACTTGGCGTGCGCGAGGCATGCGGCGCATAAAGCGCGCACGTCGGTCGTCGCGTTCATCGATCAGTTATCGTAATGTCTGATCAAAAGGAGGAGGAGGAAACGGGAGTCGGCGTATCGCGAGAATCCTCGAAAAGGAGCCATCGCGATCGAGCGCGTCCCGCGCTCTCACCTGCGACCTCGCAGAAGAGCCGATACCCGGCGATGCGCCGACGTGGATGTCGCGAGCTTCTTGACTTCCAAGCAAAAAACGCTATCTCGTTTCGTCATATGGCTGGCAAGTTGCTCGAGCGGGCAGAAGTGGATACTCGACGTACTCGCTGTTATGCGCGTGAATTCGATACCTCACGCGATACCGTGACTCTTCGCCATCCGGATTGAAACCCTGACCGAAGGAATTAATATCCCGCGCGAGACCGTTACAACAGTAATCCACGAAAGGTCGACATACGTGCCGCGGGAATTCGAGATCTTCCGTGAGAGTGGAGGAGACACGGTAGAGACATGGAAGTACCGTGAAATCAAACCTTCAATTTCGCCAATTACCCCCTCGCGTCCATCTTTCGTTATTCCATACGGCATGGACGGCTTAACCTTTTGACCCTTTGAGCCATACATTTTATTTCCCGGTGAAGTTTCTTTAAATTCAGCGTATGGGGGATTTCGAGGTCGCTGATTACCAATTTCAGATGAAAAGGTTAAAATTCGAAGTGGCGGGTTCAACATAGCAACCGTAAATTTTCAAAATTAGTAATCTCGCTTTTAGCATTGTCTAGAGATAATAAATAACACTTCCCTTATAGAAATATCATACTAAGAATCATTGATAATTACTTATTTTCAGTATTAAAAATACTGAATAATAAGTAATTATCAATGATTCTTAGTATGATATTTCTATAAGAGTTCCTTGATATGAAAAAGAAACATTTGCATTTTCTAGAAGAAATTTGCAGCAAACATATTATCAATATTGCAATAGTTTATTGTAAAAAATAGAACTTATAGAAAATTTTGAAAAAATGTGTAAAATACTGTTAGTTATTCTGAATAAACCATTAATGTTTTGTTGTGTCGATTCCTAACAGTTAGTCTTAAATTGATTTTTGTCTGAAAGCACTTTTTTACTTTCATTTGCACATAATAATTTAACAATTAAACATACAAGTAATCTTTTATTTACTTTTAGTTCCTTATATTAATGAGAAAGAGAGAGTGTAATAATATAATTGACTATATCTGTCGATAAGTTAGTTACAATCATTAAGAAAAAAGCAAAAGGAGACGCTAGCGTCTCACTATAGCTCAAAGAGTTAAAGAAGGGATTTCCTTTCTCGAACAAACAAATGAATAAAATAAGAATAAGAATAAGTCAAATAAACCAAACATCATTCTCGTGAACTTGTAAGTGAAAAAAGAGAGAAACCTTGGAATCATGCGTCAGCAACTTTGATCCGTGTACTAATAGTCATTACTTAAAACTTGTCTCAAGCGAAATACTCACATTTGTATCTAGAATTAGATGTAAATTTTTTTTCAGTTGAATCACGATTACAAATCGCTTATATCCTATGATTACAATCACTTATGTCCTCTGATTCAACTGTGAAACTCGGTTCTAACTTTAAATTTAAATTCGAATACCTCTCACGTGAGGCAAGCTTCAAGTAAAGATTAATTCTAGCCTTTGACTTGTATTAATAGTTATTACTTGAAACTCGTCTCAAGCGAGACTCTTACATTTGAATATAGAAGTAGGTGTAAGTTATTCACTTACATCATACGATTGCAGATATAAGGCTTGTTTTTTCTTTTCAGATGCACTAATGTTGCACTTGTTCCTTTCCTTTTCAATGCTCAATTATATGCTTATTTCACTCTCTGAAAAAATATGCAACCTACTTAAGCTGAAAAGAACAGACCTATAATGTCACTTATATTATATAATCTAACTGAGAAACTCAGATCCATCTCTAAATTTAAATTCCAGTATCTCATGTGAGTTTAAAGAAAAGGTTATTAATATGGGTCTTAATTCTCTAATTAATTAAAGAGCGGTATTCATAATCAAATCTTATATTTAGGATCGTCATAAGCTCATCTGTTTTGTAGCTAATGAAATAATCCGCTCAGATGGCCTGAGATACTTCGTCCAACCAAAAGAGTCACATCTATAAATTTAAATATTTCACTTGTAACTAAATTCAAGTAATATCTATTGATACAGGCCTTAAGCTCATATTAAAGGGATACCGAAGTGATTGATAAACTCGAAAAATATTGATAACGTAAAAGCGAAAATCTAATATAATCATATTACTCTTTTCGTATTTTTTCTGCATATAGATCTTGTATGAGAATGTATGCTGCTTTGCGTTTTATTATACTAGCAGAAAATATAACTGCGCATATACAGAAATTTTTCTGCAAACTCTTGACGTACTTTGGAACTTCTATATTCAGTTATAAAGATACAGAAACGTTCCTTGAAAGTTTCGTTAGCGGAGCAAATATACGTGCGGTAACTGCAGAACTTTTATATCAAGTAAATATTTACACCAACTGACAGCTCGAAATGTCAATTTAAAACTTCTTTGTCGTTTTTATATTAAACAATGTTCCGATTCATTATTGCACTTTCAGCGTGTAATAGTTATTTGTAATTCTGTGGGATCAAAATGTACGACATAAACTTTGCGGGAAGAAATCAGTATTCTGTCGAGAAAACTTCCAAGTATGGCATCCCCTTAACAGTCGTTCCTTCAAACCTGTCGCACGTGAGACACTCAGCTTCAAATTTACAGTCGGATCCGAGTTTCCCAATAGACTGACATGACACTAGTGTGCGATACACTAATTGATAATCGCAATTCAACTGACCAACTCACATCCAAACCTAAGTTCACGTCTGAGTATCTCACCTGAGGTGAATCTCAAATAATGACTATGAATACACAGGCTTCATACTCTGCCCTTTGAGACTTTGGCGGCGTGGAGGGACGCCGAGCTCGGTCTTTGTTTGAGTTCGAGTTTGAGTTGTACTTGGTGCGAGCCCCTTCCCCCCTTGTTCCCGTCGCTAATCTCTACGACCACGTCGTTCCCGGTATCGATGACCGAAATCCGCGGACTTTCGAGGAGAGACTTTCGGTCGGAATGATCGTCCGCTCGCTTTCGTACGCCTGCAACGTCGGCACAGGCGTCGGCGAAGGTCAACGAGTTTCCTACGTGGGCAAGGAACGCCTATGGTGTGCGCGGGGCGCAGCAGCGGCGCGCGGGCGCGCTTACTCACGCTCTCAAAATTGCTACCGGAGCCGCCCTGCGGTAGCACACGCTCTTCTTCCCCGTCCGCGGTTAATGAGCGCGTCTTTCGCGCTGACAGTCGTCGACCTCGTCATCACCGTCGTCGTTGTCGTCGTCCTATTCACCTCGGCGAGCCGCCGAGCGAAGCGGCTCCGCGCACCGTGTCGGAAACTCTCGCCCGACCTCGATTCCGTGCTCCGATACTGCGCGCGCGCGCCGTTGAGATCATCACCGTTTAGGTGTGACACGGCGTTCCGGAACGGGCGCGAAAAGAGCCGGCACCTCCGCGGGAAAATCAAAGGAGTCGCAGCAGGTAGCTTGGTCGGCTCGAGCGAGGTCGAGTTGGATCGCGCGGCGAATCGCGGAGCGAATCGATCGCACGAGTCCTTTCCTGCATCCCGCATCATCGTGGAAGCGCTTCGCACCGCGCGAAGCGGATCCCCTGCCCTCTTGGCGGTACCGATGCCACCGCGCGTAGACGGAGTTCACCGGTTCACACCTGGAGGAAGCCCTCTCTCTCTCTCTCTCTCTCTATTCGCGGCTCAAGAGCATCGGTCTACTCTCGATCTACGTATCCAGGGTCATGGTGCAATTCTCTGCGACGTTGCCTCGTTATTACACAACTTTGATCCACAAGTCGCTTCGAGTCGGGCTTCGTCCAGCCGTGCCCGGTGACATGCGTCCGTCCGTCCGTCCTGTCATCCGCAGAACGGTAATAACACGCAGATTTTCTCGCTATCTCTCTTTCTCTCCTACCTCGTCCTCGTGTCGCCGTGTTGCGTGCGTTCGTGCGTGCGTGAGGGCGTTCGTACGTTCGTGCGTGCAAGGCCTGGAGGGCCCGCTTCTCCGAGGGGGGCTGTCGACGGAGCTGTGCGAGAGCGCGAGGGCGGATACGCTCCTGCCGGGATCTCTCGCGCGCGCAGGTAAATATCGTCTAGCGCGATCGCGCGGCCACGACTGAGTCCGTTCTCCTGAGAGAGCGTTTCACCTGCGACGACGGAGCCCCCCTCGGCGGCCTCGGCGCGACGCGCGAACTAAACCCGCCGTTCCTCCTTCTCCTCCTCCTCCTCTTGTTGCTGCTGCTGCTGCTGCTGCTCTCCTCCGCGCCGCTTTTTCCTCTCCCACTCGCGAGCGCGTCGCGACGGAGCCTTCGCGCGTCCTTACCTGCGAGACCGTGTCCTGCACCTATTCGGCCACCCACTCACCTATTCGCACTCCGCGACGCTCGAGAATCGTCGAGCGATCGGTCCATTCGCCCGCCTGACAAATCGTGGGAGGCGGAACAGGCTTTTTCTAGCTGGTTATGAGATGCTTATGGGATGGAGCGTGGTTTGGCGTGTTGGGTAGCCGACCGAACAAGTGGTAGACGACCCTCTTCCTCTGAAGAGCTTCCTGCTCGTGATCCTTGTAACTTTTCTCTTATTATTCGAAGGTTATATAACGACCCAGATAGACTTTCATGATTAACACGATGTGAGACGATTAATGATGGAAACTACATTCTTCTAGTTACATCTCTGATGCAAATATCTGTATTAAATTAATCACTAAATTTACATCATACAATAACATGAACTTTTTATCGATGTGGCAACAAGTTTATTAAAAGCTACACTCAGATGTTCATATTATATTTTACATGACATGTTGTTTTGAACAAATTTTCATTTTATTTCTTCGTATTCCCTTCGTAAAAAGATTTGGTAATAACTATCAAGTCTGGGTGATAAGTACCAGGTGCTTTGGTTGGAAATAATTTCAACTAAACATGTAAATAAATATAATCAAATAATATATATATATATATATATATATATATATATATATATATATATATTTGGTAAATATTAATAAATAATCTTAGCAAAGTTTGTAATATCCATTGCCAAGACTTGGTGACTATTGCCAATGGTATATTACCAAACAATTTGTTAAATAAAACCATATTGTTTAGTAATACTTAGCATATTACCTGATAAATATATGAAATGTTACCAAATATTTTGGCAATAGTTGCACTATTTAGTAATTATTCAGTGTTATTAATCGAACCATTTAACTGGCTCAACTTAATGAAAGAATCTGTTTTACTAATCATTTTGTAATTATTATCAGGTGATAATAATTACAAATAATTAGTAACTATATTTGATACTAATTGTATATATCAAATGTCGCACTGAAATGCTCAAGCAAATATCTTTGTTATCTATTACAAGATCTTTTTTTGTGTATCTCTATTTCGTCATTTGATGTGATAAATATGACTACCTTATAGATCATTCATAAGGGATGCAACCCCTATAAATCGATTAGCAAAGTTGCTTCAGATTTGCATCTATCTAGGAACATATTGTTCTGAATAAATTGAAGCTATTTTATTTGTATTGTTTTTATATTTCTATTTGAGAAATTTCTATATGATAAATTTCTATTTTTATCATTCTATGCGAATGCCATATAAGCCATTCGTAAGAGATGCAACCTTTACAAAACAACTAGTAAAGTTGCTGCCAAATTTATATATAGTTATTTACTTGAGGAGAAGGTACGCACATGCGATAGCTCATAGCATCAATTTTGCAATAAATTCTCGTACGATTTTTCCAAAAATAATATTTCTCTTTTTTTGTCTAATAGTTTATAATATCTAAATCTCGATTTTTTTAAGTTATATATGTCCCACAATAAGCTCAAATATTTATTTTATATTAGCAATATTTTTAATTAATAGGAAGTAAACAATAATATAATAATAATGGAGTAAATAATTATAAGGATCTTTGATTAAAATCAAACAATATAATAATGAAGAATATAATAATGAAGGATGATCTAATTTGCATTTATTTATAATTATACACACAGAGACTAATTATTTAATTATCAGAACATTTCGACCACATATATTATAATCATTTTCAGCTAAAATTATATATTATAAATTTTACTATGTATTATAATTACATATTTTAAATTATATGTAATATGTAGGAACAGAAGTTATATTTAATTAAAAAATTGTTACGTTTTTAACTTATTTTGCTACCGGTAACAATAACAATAATAATATTTTATAATATAATAATATTTCAACAACTTATACACATCTGAAATTCCTCAAAAAAAGAAGTAGGATCGAAAGGGTTAAATAATTTCCAGAAAACGTTCCGAGAAGTAACTTTCTAGATTAGACAGATGTGTATAAAATTAGTAACAACTTTACTAGTTCATTTGTAAAGGTCGCGTTCTTTATGAATGGTTCATATAACATTTATATTTATTACATGAAATGAAAAAATAGAAATACAAAAAGAATTATGAAAATTTGCTGAAAACAGTGGTTCGCGTAAAATGCAATACGAGAGTATAATTTTTAATAACGTTGTTACTTCAATATGACAAAAGATTTACATTATTGACTGCATAAATTGGATAATCAATTCAACATAGTGTATATGCCTCATAAGCGCAATTAAATAAAATTTTAGAATTTCTATCATCGATTGTCTCGTGTTATGATAATTATAAAAGTTTATCTGGCCACGATGCTTGCGTCTCTCTCCCTTTTTATTTATAGTAAAGAACTGAGGTATCCATTTAATGCCATTCAGCAAGATGAGCGGATCGAACGTCGATCCAGGCAAGCGGATCAACCCTCAAAGCGGTACACCTGTGCCCAACAGCCGCGGGCGCGAGGGGGGAACGATTTCTCAAAGGGGGTCGAGCGTGGCACGATAAGGCGCGATAGGTGTTTAACGAGTACTTTTGACATCGGCGGCTTCCCGCGACTGACGTCCGTTACTCCTGCGAGGTATGCCTCGGTGTCCTCGGGCGACTCGTCTCCAACTCCCACAACGGCTAGAACCGCTATTCGTTTTCGCTGAACGATTATTCCCCGCGGAGGAGAGGGAGAGAGGAAGAGAAAGAGGAGAGAGAGAGGGGGGATAGAGGAAGAGAGAAAGAGATCTCCTCCTCCCACTACTCTATTCGCGACTACATACAATTACTCCTCTCCGGCATCCCGGCCATCTCCGAAGGACGCGTATGCTCTTCCACGGCTCACGCAAACGCGTTTCACCGCGACCGCCGCCCGCGAATTCACGTTATGCTCGGCCGATTTGATCCCGCGACGAGAGATTGCCACCCCCTCATCTCGGAGATAATCATTAACACGCGACTCTCTCAGCCGCTGGCGTCACCTTGCAGAACTAGCACGCGTTCGCAGTTGTGCTCGCGTATTTTCCCGTTAAACGCAGACGGATCGAACGGAAAATTTAATCCTTTGGGACGTAGATGTGAAATGGTGTTCATTCGGGATAATGAATATTCGTTAAAATAATTAGCGGGAATTCGACGCGATAAGCACCGGAAATCTAATCAGACGATCATATTAGATTTGTCATATTGATGCAACAACAAATTTTTATTAAAAGTTACATTCACACTTTTATATTGCATTTTACATGAGCTACTCTCTTGAGCACATAATTCTCTCTCCGTATTTTTATTTTTTAAATAAATTTAAGAACGAAATTTATAGTCGGATCTTATATTATTAGGATTATCTTAAATTCATCTTTAGCGGCTACATGGATCATTTTATTGGCTATGAAACATTTAAAGATAAACTTAGGACGATTTTAAATAGAAGATCCGACTACGAATATCGTTGTAAAGATTCGTCGTTCTAAAGAGGAACTTCAGAAACTCATGACTCTTTTTCCCATTATGACCTTTTAGTTTTACTCCAGAATATCATTTGTCGAGTTCGGCCGAGGGCATGAGAGAAGACTCTTTATCGTTTGATTGCGTCTGTGAGTCGACAGCGTTACCTTGGAAAGCGAACACGTGGCCACAGTTATATTCGCGTATGTTCCATTAAATGCAGATGAATGGAATAGAAAATCTGGTCTTTTGGAACGTACACATAGAAAAATATATACGACATTCAAGCAAATGTTACTTGTGTATGTGTGTTTCAAGTATCTCATAAATTTATATTATATATTCGTAAATCTATAATAAGTTTCCATCACAAGCATTAAATTTCTTCTGGATACATTCTGAATCCCAGTACGTTCAGCATTTCAGTTAAGAATATTAAAACAGAAATCCGATTTATCACATATATAGAAAAATGTAATGTTTTTGTTTTGAAAATATCTTTATTTTTGATATATAAATCTTAAAATAAGATTATATAGCATTATATGTAAACGAAGATAAGTTACTTTTATCAATATATTTTGTGTGTATGTACGTATGGTTTAACAAAGAGAAAAAAAATATTATTTAAAAATATAATTTTTAT